TGGATCATGAGGTCAGGAGATCGAGACCATCCTGGCTAACATGATGAAACCCCATCTCTACTAAAAATACAAAAAATTAGCCAGGCGTGGTGGCGGGCGCCTATAGTCCCAGTTACTCGGGAGGCTGAGGCAGGAGAATGGCATGAACCTGGGAGGCAGAGCTTGCAGTGAGCCAAGATCACACCACTGCACTCCAGCCTGGGTGAGAGAGCGAGACTCCATCTCAAAAAAAAAAATTAAAAAAAAAAAATAATAATAACAATAAATAAATACCCCTCCAAAATAAATAAATAAATAAATAAATATCCTGAAGCCCCCTTGGCCACTGCCCCTCTCCCCCATGGCCTCACCTTGCCAAAACTGAGGAGCAGGTGGCCCAACCTGGTTCTGGAGACAGAGCAGGGCCTCCAAATCATCACCGAAGTTTGAATCTCACTTTGCCATTTCCCATATCTGGGGTCTGGGTACATTATGTCCCCAGTCTACGTGCGGGGAAACGGAGACTCGGGGACATGAAATCTCTGACCAGTGCCACACAGTGAAAGTGGAGCTGGTACTTGAACCCAGCAGCCTGATGCCCCCAAGCAATGGCCCTCATGGTGTACTGGACTCGGGGCCTCATACACCAGCCTCACCCTTCCAAAAGCAACATCCGGGACAGGCTGACAAGCCCAGGACGCACAGCCACCACATGGGGGCTGGAGAAGCCCCAGTAAGCCCGGGGCCAGGCTAGCCAGGGAGGCAGAGGAGCCGTGCCCACTCTGGCCACAGGGCGCCGCTGTGGGATCCGAGTGGTGACTGCGCCCCAGCCTCCTGGAGAGTTGGGAGTGACTCACACAAGGCAGCAGAAGCCTGGGACATTCTGTGGCTTCCCCTGGGACATTCCAGCCTCCCAAATTCCCCAGTCAGTGGACAGTTTCCCTGCCACCATCCCCACAGTCTGGAGGGGCTGTGTGTGCAGGGACAGCCCCAGATCAGAGATGTGGATGGAAGCCCAGCCCCGTCACCCACAGCCAAGTCCCTTGACCTCTCTGGCCCTCCACTTTCCATCTGTCAACATGGCACTTGCCCAGGGCTGGCACCATGCCTGAGCCATAAGAAAGTGGTCAAAAGCCTTGGCTCCCAACTCTGGGCTCTCCACAGTCCTGGGGTCTCTGCCTGCAGCTGCGGTTCACTGCATTCCACTGTCACATGGCGTGTGAGGAGCCCTCCTCACCAAACCCCAACTCAGCCACATGGTAACCGTCAGCCATCAGCCCCTCAGAGGGTACACAGTCCACGTCCACGGTCTTCTGGTCCCAAGAATACCCAAGGAGGTGGGGACCTTCATTCCCGTTTTACACTTGAAGCCACTGAGGCTCAGTGAGGCTAAGAATCCTGCCCAAGGTCACATAGCAAGTTAGCAGCAGAACAAGGAACAGTCTGACCCATGTACACATCAGGCTGGGCTGGTCCTGGGCCTGATCTTCATTCACTGAGAGTCCGTTGTCCCTGGTATCACGGACGTCCACAACCCACACTGTCTGTGCGGTTCCCTCTCCAATGCAGCCCCGGCCAGCTTACTGCCTGTTACAGTCTCTCCCATCCTCAGGGGTGACCCAGACAGCCCTGCCCCGCACCTCCTCCTCTGGCCCTGTCCCTAGTCTGCCTGTGCATCCCACTGGGGTTTTGTCTGCCCGCTCCCCCACTCCTCCATATCACCAGGCCCCGGGGCAGGTGCCAGGGGAGTGCCAGTGGCTGCGCTCACCTGGCTTATTGAGGAGGCACCGGAGCTCATACTCGACATCAGCCTGGCGCTGCTCCAGGTTCTGCTGCTTGAAGCTAGAGGTGGGAATAAGGTGACTCTTAACAATTCTGCCCGAGCCCCGGCTGCCCTGCCCTGTGCTGTTACTGATGAGGGAAGAGGGTAAGGGTTCTCAGCTCTAAGCTCTACGGATTCCAGGGAGGGCTGCCCCGAGCGGATGACTCACACATAGATGAGCTCGGACTCTCGCCGCACCAGTAGGTGCTTCTCGTGGATGAGCTTGAACCAGTCCACCAGCATGTCATCCTCACGGCCCTCTGGAAGCCAGACACCCACTGAGGCCAGGGCTGGCTGCCATGCCTGGCTCAGTTCCCCAGGGAATAGAGGCTCCTGCCCCCAGCCCCACCCAGCAGGCCCTCCCAGCCGCTCCCGCACCATTCAGGCCGCCACGCAGCTTCTCCTCCAGCAGCACCCCACGGTGCTCCAGGGCATCCAGCCGGCGCTCAATGGTGTCCATCTCTCCGTGGATGTCCTCCTCGGGGATGTACTGGTCAGCTTGGACCTGCCCAACAGCTCCTGGTCACCTGACGGCCAGCCGAGCCCTCCCCTGCCTGGTTGCTGCCAGGAGCCTTGCCCTCTTCTCTGGCCAGCATTGGCCACTGGTGGCTCCAGGGCCCGGGGCCTGCCCCCGACCCCAGCATGGTTAGAAGGCAGGGTCCCAGTGTAGGGAAGGGGCCAGTGTGGGAACAGCCACAACCCTGCATGCCACTGGTCCCAGCACCAACAGACACACCAGAAGGTGGCATGACTCCCTGCCCTTCAGAAACGCCTCCTCTCTGCCACTCCAGAAAGGCTATCACAATGTCAGTGAGAGTGACCTTATTACAGAGATAAACTTGAGAACACTCTAATCAGCTTAAGTAGCAGCGTATCATGAGTGTTTGATACTTGAACTTGTTAGTAACAAATTAAAGGCACCACCTACTGCTTTTGGTGGTGAAGGGCTGATCTGCTCCAAATCTCTCCGGGCTGCAAGTTAGACCTTCAAGTTGGGCCACCCAAGAGCGCTCTCTTGAGCATCTGAGGCCAGCTGCCCAGCCAGCCAGCCTCCCTAGAGTCCCAGGGGAAGCCTGCAGCTGCGGAGTGGCAGATGCCAGCCCAGGCCAGCCTGGTCTCAGGGGGCTCCAAGCTGGTACCTTGCGTTTGATGAGTGGGAAGCCGTGTCCTGGGGCAGGTGGCCTCACAGGCTTAGAACCCTTGGTGGCCTTCTTTGTGACTGGGGACGCTGCAGGCGATGGCTTCCGGTTAAAAGGATTCTCCTTGCAGGAGGACTAAAGGCAAGGAGACATGACACAGGGTGAGTCTGGGAAGAGGGCACGTGAGACCCCAGCAGCCTGATATTTGGGAACATGGAAAGCAGGCCAGCACTCCAGGGCCAGCAGGACCCAGGCAAAGAGACGGTCTCCTCAAATTCCGTCTCTGATGCACTGAGTCATTCAATAAACTTTCTATTTCCAGGGCTCTTCTCGCCTGTCAGTTACTGCACTGGATACTTTTTACACTTTTTTGAGATAGTTTTACTCTGTCACCAGGCTGGTGTGCAGCTGTGGCATAACCACGGCTCCACTGCAGCCTCAGCCTCCTGGGGCTCCAGCGATCCTCCCAGCTCAGCCTCTCGAGAAGCTGGGACTACAGGCTCGTACCACCATGCCTGGCTAATTTTTTGTTTTTTTGGTTTTTTGTTTTTTTTTTTTTTTGTAAAGACAGGTCTCACTTTGTTGCCCAGGCTGGTCTCAAACTCCTGGGCTCAAGTGATCCTCCTGCCTGGGCCTTCCAAAGTTCTGGGATGACCACACCTGGCCTTTTTATACATTCGTGTTGAATTCCCCCGACCACCCTGCCAAGTGGGTATCACAATGCCCATTTCACAGCTGAGTAAACTCAAGTTCAGAGAGGGTTAGTCATTTGCTCACGGCCACACACTTCCCATGAGCCCCGGCTGGGATGGGAATCTGTCTGTTTCAGGGCCTGGGCAGCCATCTAGCATTGAGGGGTAGTGCTTAGAACCTTGCCCATGTGGTAGGCAGTGCCCTACTGTGCCCCAGTGGTGGGGGTGCCTGGCTGTGCTAGCCTCAGAGAAGGCAGGGGTTTCCCTAGAGGCACAGAATGGCATGGGGTTTAGGGAAAGACAGAGCTATGGTAGTTCATTCGGGCCTCATAACCACCCTCTCCCCAGTGGGGACTCTGAGGCTCAGAGAGGTGAAGTTCTTCGCCCAGGGTCACCCAGCCAGGAAGCGCCTGACCAGCAGATAGAGTAAGAGGGTACCTCCCTCCCTGCCAGAGAAAGATCTCATCCTCTGCTGCCCAGCCCAGTACCCACACACCCAGAGCCCAGGCTCTGCATTCCTCCGTGCCTCTGGGGAGACCCCTGCCCTCTCTGAGGCCAGCACAGCTGGGGCAGCCCCACCACCAGGACATGGCAAGGCCCTGCCCACCACATGGGCAATGTCACTATTTCCCAACCACTCTTCCCAGCTCATGGGAAACAGGCATCACTGTGAGCCCCTTACAGAGGCCTCACCTGAGACCTGGGACGCTCCAAGAAGCACTGACCCAGCTTTCCCTCGGCAGCTGCAGAGCAGGGGGAGGTCTGTGCCAGCCGAGGCAGAGAGGCTTTCGGGGTGGGGGCTGCTCTGGGGTTTCTGAAGCAGGGAGGGTGCCAGGGCCCAAGGCTGGGCACAGCAAGGAGCCAGGGCTTGGCTCCCACAGGGCAGCACCTACGCAATGACCCAGGGTGGCACCCGAAGGCCCCCACTGCCTCTGAAATTCTCTCCTAATCCTGAGGTGACAGTGGGACAGGGGTTCCCCACAAGGAGGTACACTTGGGGTTCTGCCCCCTCCAACACACCCAGAGGGGCCGGCAGAGCCAAGCAGCCCAAAGCCCCTGAGCCCCTCAAAGGTTTTCAGCCTTTTCTCAGCCTCAAAACTTCAGAACAATCTTCACGCAGCCCAGGACACAAAACAAGAGAAACCGAAGCTGACCCACCCCCGTGCCCTCTACCACCAAGGAGCCAAGGAGCCTTCCGAGCACTCAGGACACTTAGTGCCAGGCAGCCCCTCACCACCTGTGTGGGAGCCCGAGGCCCAGAGGAGAATGGGGCCTGCTCAAGGACACACAGCAGATGGGAGGCAGAGCCGGAAGCAGTGCCCAAGAGGCTCTTGCCAGGGCCAGGGAAGGTTCAGTGGTGTCTGAGGCACATGGGCAGGGTCAGGCCACAATTTCAGCTGCCCCACAAAGGCCATCCTGCCACCCTCTACCTGGGGCCAGATAAGCCTTGGGAGCTCAGAGGCCTACAGAGCATGGGGCCTTCCGAACGGGCTGTGGCTGCAAGAGAGGCCCCTCATGAACTAGGTGCCCAGAGGAAAGTCCTGAGCCCAGGCAATCCCCAGGTTCTCAGTATGGGGCTGAGAAATAGGTGAGCCCACAGCACACAGCATATGTAGAACAGGAGCAGCCTGGACGGGTGCCTAGCCAGACCCTCCCCACACCCATGTCACCCAAGAAAAGACAAAGCCCAGCAAGGGAGCAGAAGGACAGGAGAGGGCCACATCTGCTCTGCTCGGTAAACTCCCCCATGGCACACAGCGGAAGCATCCAGGAAAGCGGTCCTTCTGCCTGTTGGGGGTTGACCCCCGGCCCACTACAAACTCCACACGCAGCAGCGTGCTCATTACAACCCCTCCCCCTGACCTGGCTGGGAGCGCCTTGGAGACAAGGGACCACAATGTCCACATGACCTGGGGAGCCCAGGCAGCCATGCACTTGGGAGGCATTCAGAAACCCCATCTCCCCTGTTCCATGGCAGGGAAACCCAGGTCTCTGCAGAAGGGAGTCACCCCCTCTGCTCTGTGCCCTACCATGGGTCACCTTCCAAAACGACCATTACGCCTATCTCCCTGAGCAGATCGTGAGCCCCTGGAGGCCAAAGACAAGGTCTTTTTTTTTCTGAGACAGAGTCTCACTCTGTCACCCAGGCTGTGGGCCATCTCAGCTCACTGCAACCTCCACTTCCCAGGTTCAAGCAATTCTGCCTCAGCCTCCCAAGTAGCTGGGATTACAGGCGCCCACTACCACACCTGACTAATTTTTGTGTTTTTTTTTGTTTTTTTTGAGACGGAGTCTCGCTCTGTCGCCCAGGCTGGAGTGCAGTGACCGGATCTCAGCTCACTGCAACCTCCACTTCCCAGGTTCAAGCAATTCTGCCTCAGCCTCCCAAGTAGCTGGGATTACAGGCGCCCACTACCACACCTGACTAATTTTTGTGTTTTTTTTTGTTTTTTTTGAGACGGAGTCTCGCTCTGTCGCCCAGGCTGGAGTGCAGTGACCGGATCTCAGTTCACTGCAAGCTCTGCCTCCCGGGTTCCCGCCATTCTCCTGCCTCAGCCTCCCAAGTAGCTGGGACTACAGGTGCCCGCCACCTCGCCCGGCTAGTTTTTTGTATTTTTTAGTAGAGACGGGGTTTCACCGTGTTAACCAGGATGGTCTCGATCTCCTGACCTCGTGATCCGCCCGTCTCGGCCTCCCAAAGTGCTGGGATTACAGGCTTGCGCCACCGCGCCCAGCCAATTTTTGTATTTTTAGTAAAGATGAGGTTTCACCATGTTGGCCAGGCTGGTCTCAAACTCCTATTCTCAAGTGATCCGCCTGCCTCAGCCTCCTAAAGTGCTGGGATTATAGGTGTGAGCCACCGCGCCCGGCCAGTACAGGGTTTTAATACAACTCTGCCCAGGGTCTGGCATCAGTAGAGCCTGAGTGAATGGAAGAGTGGACAGACAATACAGGATGACTAGTGGCTGGTGAATGGAACCCAAATAGGCCAGTGCAGGCGATGGGAGGCAAACAGGGCCCCTGATACCTAAGACCTGGAAGGCTATGCGTGTGGACAGGTGGATAGATGGGTGGGAGCTCTGGCAGATGGATGGAAGGATGGACAGATGGGTTTGTGCCTCAATGAACAGAGTGGGTAATGGGTAGATAGGCTGGCCAAAGCCACTCAGGAAATCAGAGGCCAGCAAAGATAGAAAAGGCCCTGAACAGCCGGGCGTGGTGGCTCACGCCTGTAATCCCAGCACTTTGGGAGGCCAAGGCGGGTGGATCATGAGGTCAGGAGATAGAGACCACCCTGGCTAACATGTTGAAACCCTGTCTCTACTAAAAATACAAAAAAAAAAAAAAAAATTAGCCGGGCGTGATGGCGGCACCTGTAGTCCCAGCTACTCGGGAGGCTGAGGCAGGAGAATGGCGTGAACCTGGGAGGTGGAGCTTGCAGTGAGTCAAGATTGCGCCACTGCACTCCAGCCTGGGCCACAGAGCAAGACTCCATCTCAAAAAAAAAAAAGAAAAGGCCCTGGACATTTCTGCCCTAAGACCAGACCCGCATCCACTAGAGAGGATATCACTTTTAGTGAGAGTGAGTGGGTACTCACCTTTACCTGCAGCTGTGGGGACGAGCTTCCAGGGGAAGGCACGGGGCTCCTGTCTCCAACCAACAAGAGAGGTGTTGGGGTGGCGCCACTGCAGGGCTTGGCTGGCTGGGGACCTGGGCTGCCCCTGGTCCTAGGGGCAAGGCCAGGGCTGGCTTGAGGCGTTTGTTCCACTCTAGGCTCCACTAGCTCCCCAGAGGACGCCAGAGAGGAGTTGGTAGAGAGGCCGACAGGGTTTCCAGGGGTGCCAGGGGCATGGACAGCAGGCTCTGAGGAGCTCTTGGGCACAGCTGGCGGCTCCAGAAGCTCCCCACCTGCAATCTGGCTGGAGCTCTCGGATGACAGGCTCTCCACACTGAGCGCTGGCGATGGTGTGGCTGAGGGCGGCTCCGAGTGCGAGAGGCGGGAGGCGTGGAGAGCTGTGCAGACGAGCACCAGGACACCTCACAAGGGGAGCACCACAGGGGCTTCCAGCCCCACCTCTCAGCTCCACTCTCAACAGAGCCGCAGGCAGCCCTGGAAACCCAAGCCCTCCACATCCAGACAGGGCCAAGGCCCAGGGAACAGCAAACGCCCAGCGGGATGGAAGTTGTGAGGTGCATCCAGTCACCGGAGTCCATCCTGCCCCGCCCACCTTGCATTCTGCCTGCTGCCTCCACTTCCCCACACTCCCCACAGCCCCCATGAAGGCACCCACAGCAAAACCACCTTGGGAATGCCAGAGGAAGAGAGGCGGCCCCTCCTCTGCCCCTGATCTGCAGTGCGGAGGCAGGGGGGAGGAGCACACAGCCCTCGCTGTGTCCCAGAGCCACCAGCTCTGGGACAGGCACTGCCGGGCACCAATTTCTCTCCTTGTGGCTGACAGATATGATGCTTCCAAACACATTATCTGCATTTTCCAGATGAGGCAACAGGTTCAGAGAGGTGAGGACGCTCACCCCAGAAAGGGCTGGGATTGAATCCACTGTATCTGACTCTAGAGCTCACGCCCCTCTGCTGTCCCCTGAAGCTGTCCACCACCTCCACCTAGACAGGCCAGCCTCCGCTGGGCTCCCAGGGCTCCCCTGAAGCTGTCCATCACCTCCACCTAGACAGGCCAGCCTCCGCTGGGCTCCCAGGGCTCCACTCGGACCCCCTGAGCACCTGCCTCTGCCAGCTCTGGCAGGCTCTTGCCCCACTGTGTGAGGGGGTCCCATGGGACTCTCAGAGGCGGCCAGACCCAGCCATGGTGAAGGTGAGGACCAAAAACCCAGCTCAGGGTATCAGAAGACTGGGAGAAGGTGAGGGCCAAAAACTCCAGCGTGCCTGGGTGAGGGGATAAGCACTGGGTGGAGGAGGCCCAGCAGCCTGGAGCTGAGCCACCATGTCACATGGAGGACTACAGACAGACTCAGGGACAGTCAGAGTCATTACACCTGATCACGCACGGCCAGGTGAGAGCCCAGGTCACTCAGGAACTGCAGCGACAGTGACGGAGTTAGGATTCAAGCAAACCCCTCCTTTCCGTGAGCCCCTCGCTGCACTGAGCACACCAATGGACAGCACATTTAACGAACATGACAGGGAGGGTGAAGAGATGGACTCAGGCCAGACTCCGTGGGTTCAAATCCTGCCTCTACAGCTTAAGCACTGAGAGGCTTTACGCAAACTACTTAGCCTCTCTGTGCCTCAGTCTCCTCACCTGCAAAGTGGAGGTGATGATACCTACGCACAGGTTTGCTCTAGGATTAAATGAGAGGTCACCCATGAAACACGCGGTGCCCGGCCTGGGAGGCTCTGCCTCACCACACCCCCACCCCAGGCCCGGGCCCCATCCCCAAGTTCCGACTGTCAGGAGAGCTCCAGGAAAGGCACTTACCCAGTGGGGATGCGCTGGGAGCGCGGGGGGCAGGGCGCTTCTTTGTCTTCGGGCTGCTGGTAGGGGTGATGCCGTACCAGGGGTGCAGGGACTTCGGTGTGGACTCCAGGTGGCCCAGGGCAGGGCTGGTGGCCAGGCTGGGTGCAGCCGGAGCCTCTTCCTCCTCCTCCTCCTCCTCAAAAGGGTTATAGGGTTTGGGCTCCAGGCTGGCCGCTGGGCTTGGCTGGGCCACCTCCTCAGTGCCTCCATTCTCCACCTGCCTACTGTCCTGGCTTGGTGGCCCAGGGCTGCTGCTTGGGGGAAGTGGGGCTGGCTTCTTCTTTGGTTCCGCCTGCACCAGCGTGATCCATGGGGGGTCCTTCCTGGGGGCTGGTGTCCTGGAGGGAGGGGGGAGGCAGCAGAAACCATTAGCAGAGGCAAGGGGTCAGCTTCCTTCTCTCTCTCGACAGTTTTGAGGCCACTTCAAATGGGAATGAGAAACGGCCGTTTCCCTTCTCCCACCCCCAGCACCATGGGGCCAGTCTGAAATGGACTGTTACAGTCACAGCCCTTGAGGCCCAGAGAATGTGAACCTTCAAGTCACAGAGCTGCTGTTAACCCAGCCCAGGAAAGGATCGACGAGGGACTCTGTCATCTACAACCCATGTAACCTGGGAAAGTCACCTGCTCACCCTCTGTATTAGTCTCTCCTTCTACTCAATGGGGACCTTAATAATCCTTGCCTCACAGGGTTGGTGTAAGGATGCAGTGAGCTACGGAGTCCAGCACTGGGCAGGGCACCAGGGCACCTGCTGAGTGCCAGGGGCTCAGTAAACATTAATAACTGGCACAGCCATGGCCCACCTGGCTCCCTACAGACCGACCACATAGGGGAAAAGGGTGGCCCCCAAATAACAGCTGAAGTAGATGTCCGCCACGTGAAGCAGGGTCCTGTGCTGCAGGACCTGAGGGACAGGTACTACAGCTGAGCTTTTCCAGGTCTTTCTATACTCTGCTGCTAAGCCTCAAATCAACTCTATAATCAAGGCTAGGCCTCCCACGTTACAGGAAAAGGAGCTTGGAGAGATGACGGGAACCAGAGGTGGCTGCCTGCACCGGGTACTGCCCACAGGACCAGGCGCCTGGGGAGGGGGCCGGGCAGTGGCTGCAAGAATCCCAGGGTGAGCCTCAGGAGAGGGGGTGTGGGCCCAGCTCTCCTTCCCCTCCTGAGCCCCACGCTGCTCATCCACAGGAAGCCTCTCTCCCACCCGGCCCCAGAGTACCCCAATTCCCACTACCAGGGCCTCTGAAGCAGGAACGCCCCTCAGGGATCAACATACCCCTCAGATGGCTTCGGTGTCCCCCTCGGCTTGGGGACAGGCGGTTCGTGCAGTCTTCCTACATGGGAAATGATAGTGAGCCAGGCCTTCATCGGCAGCAGGAGGTGGGCACCCAGGGAGCCAGCCACAGTAGCTGCCTCCCCAGGAGCACCCCGCCTTCCTCCTACACCCTCGCACCTCCCCAGCCCAGCCCATGGAAATTAGATAAGCACCCAGGTGGCTGAGAACAGTCAGGGGTCAAGGCCAGGCCACCTGAGATCCCATTTGCATTTCATTTGAGAAGACGCAACCCAAATCCCCTCAGACACCCCCCCAGTGTGGGCGGAAAACATCATCTCAGTTCAGCCCAGGAGCCACCTCCTCCTGGAAGTCCCGGACTCCTGAGTGTCCTCCACGAATCCCACAACAGCCCCTGCTCCCCTCGTCCAACTTCACAAGACTTCCACAATCCACTGAAACCCGTGCCTCTGTGCCTGTCTCCACCTCAACGTTGGGAGCGCCCTGAAGGCACAGATAGGCCTGAACAGTATTCTGTGTCCCCAGCGGCCAGCTCAGAGCCAGCCTCCACGAGAGTTGAACAAACAGAATGTTCTGGTGCAAGTCGCAGGGTGACCCTGGGAGTCTCTCACCCCGTGGCCACCAATGCCTTCCCTAATGGAATGATAAGGGCTGCCCAGCAGCCTTATACAAGGAGTCTCAATCCCACAAGCTCACTGAAACCCGGGGAGGTCATCTGGGAGCATTTTACAATGTGGGGATGGGGGAGAATGCACCCACAGAATGAGCCAGGGGTCTCCACTGCAGCTCACACTGGCTCCGGGGCCCACCTGACCCCTCTGCTCTCCCCCAAGCCCCTGAGGTCTCCCCTTCCAGACATGGGCAAGCATAGAGGCTGGGCTTGGACGTCACCTGCGGTGTGCCTGTGGATGGGCCAGGACACACAGGAAGGACACCAATGTGCAGAGTCCCAGAGACCTCGGGGACACACGGGCACACTTGGAGTGGCACTTACTACCCACCCTGAAACTAAAGCCCACAAAAACAGATGCAAAAGAGCGCATGCAGAGGAAGGCAGCATAGGGATGGGGCCTGGGTCTGTTTTCTTTGCACCGTCCCAGCATGGAGAATACAGCACAGCAGAGGCCGCAGGAACTCAGCATTTGTGGCAGGAATTAATAACCTCAGAAACAGGCCAGGCACGGTGGCTCACACCTGTAATCCCAACACTTTGGGAGACCAAGGCAGATGGATCACCTGAAGTCAGGAATTTGAGACCAGCCTGGCCAACATGATGAAAACCCGTTTCTACCCAAAAATACAAAAATTAGCCAGGCATGGTGGTGTGCCCCTATAGTCCCATCTACTTGGGAGGCTGAGGCAGGAGAATCGCTTGAACCTGGAAGGCAGAGGTTGCAGTGAGCCAAGATCGTGCCACTGCACTCCAGCCTGGATGACAGAGTGAGAGTCCATCTCAAAAAAAAAAAAAAAAGTAAGAGCCGGGCACAGTGGCTCATGCCTGTAATCCCAGCACTTTGAGAGGCTGAGGCGGGTGGATTACCTGAGGTCGGGCGTTCGAGACCAGCCTGGCCAACATGGTGAAACCTCATCTTTACTAAAAATACAAAAACTAGCTAGGCCGTGGTAGCCTGTAATCCCAGCTACTCAGGAGGCTAAGGCAGGAGAACTGATTGAACCCGGGAGGCAGAGGTTGCAGTGAGTCGAGATTGTGCCATTGCACTCCAGCCTTGGTGACAGAGTGGGATTCTGTCTCAAAAATAATAATAATAGGTCAGACGCCATGACTCACGCCTGTAATCCCAGCACTTTGGGGGGCCAAGGCAGGCAGATCACCTAAGGTAGGGAGTTCAAGACCAGCCTGACCAACATAGAGAAACCCTGTCTCTACTCCGTCTCTACTAAAAAAACAAAAAACAAAAAACACAAAATTAGCCGGGCATGGTGGCGCATGCCTGTAATCCTAGCTACTCAGGAGGCTGAGGCAGGAGAATCCCTTGAACCCAGGAGGCGGAAGTTGCAGTGAGCCGAGATCGCGCCACTGCACTCCAGCCTGGGGGACAAGAGCAAAACTCCTGTCTCAAAATAAATAAATAAATAAATAAATAATAACAACCTCAAAAACACAGACAGTCCCCAACACAGCACAGTACACAGCAGCACAGACAGAGAGGGGCCGACAAACACTCCCAGACACACACACTTCAGTAGTGCACTGCCACCCAGTGTACCCTGCCCCGACTGCACCCTGCTCACCGTTCACGAGGCTGCTGCCACCAGCCTGCTCCACCAGGTTCTCCTGCTGCAGACTGGAGCGGGGCCGGGGCGTGGGGGGTGCTGGGGCGATGCTCTCGGAGGCCTTCCTGGGGGCGGGGGTGGGGCGGCCTGCAGGGGTGCTAGCCAGCTCCTGTGGTTTGCCAGGAACCCGGGGTTTGGTAGGGATCTGGGGCCGGGCCTCAGGGCTGGCCTTGGGTCCATCAGCCTCAGCCCCTGCAGGAGCACTGGAGCTGGGGCTGCCTCCTGGAACATCCCTGGCATCTTCTGCAAGTTGCTGCTGGTGCTGCTGCTTTGGCTGTGAGAAAGGCCCAGGCCTGGTCCCTGACCGCGTCCCCGGGCCCAGCCTGGCACAGTGTTCTGCACACACAAAGGTGCCCTCCTCAGGCCCATTCTCATAAGCCCCAGGGAGCAGGGTGCTGGAGCACCGCCGACACCTAGCAGGGGACAGGACAGGGGTTCACTTAGCCAGGCAACCAGGCCCAGCCACTGGCGACCCCTCCAGCCGCACCCAGGGCTGTTTCCTCCCTTCCCTCCTCCCAACTGCCAGCCAAGCTCCAGGCTTCATACTCTAGACTTCTCAGAGGATAAAGAAAACAGTAACTGTCAGAAGCATAGTGGAACAATAAAATCACAAAATCACACAAAATCAGCAACAGAAGTTGTGAAACATGCCTTCAGTTTATGCTGCAAGAGGAAGAAGCCAAGGTCCCCCCGAGAGGTGGCATTCAGTGAATGGCTGCATCCAGGAGTGGCTCAGGAAAATAAAGCGGTGGGTTTTACCCAATCAGGTGGTGTTTTGTGTTTTCTTTTCTTTTTCTTTTTTTTTCTTTTTGAGATGGAGTCTCGCTCTTGTTGCCCAGGCTGGAGTGCAATGGTGCGACCTCAGCTCACTGCAACCTCCGCCTACCGGGTTCAAGCGATTCTCCTGCCTCAGCCTTCCAAGTAGCTGGGATTACAGGCATCTGCCGCCATGCCTGGCTAATTTTTTTGGTATTTTTAGTACAGACGGAGTTTCACCATGTTGGCCAGGCTGGTCTCAAACTCCTAACCTCAAGTGATCCACCTGCCTACGCCTCCCAAAGTGTTGGGATTACAGGCGTGAGCCACCGCTCCCGGCTATGTTTTGTTAATGAAATAGAATAATATACAATGTATAAGACTGTATCATACAAGAAAGGCCAAATAGTGCTTTGTGAAACTCTTACTCCAGCTGTGCCTCTACTTACACAGTTTTATTTCAGGTAAATATTTACATCTAGTCACAGTGTCAAGTGTATTTTTTACTGGGAGTTACTATAAAAAGTTTCTTTTTATTTTTGAGGCATGGTCTCACTGTCACCCAGGTTGGAGTACAGTAGTGCAGTCATAACTCACTGCAGCCTCAAACTCCTGGGCTCAAGTGATCCTCCTGTCTCTGTCCTTTGTCTCCGAAGTGCCTAAGAGTACAGGTGTGTGCCACTACACTTGGCTAATTTTTTTTTTTTTTTTTTGAGACGGAGTCTCACTCTGTCGCCCAGGCTGCAGTGCAGTGGCGTGATCTCAGCTCACTGCAAGCTCCGCCTCCCAGGTTCACGCCATTCTCCTGCCTTAGCCTCCCGAGTAGCTGGGACTACAGGCGCCCACCACCACGCCTGGCTAATTTTTTTTGTATTTTTAGTAGAGACGGGGTTTCACCGTGTTAGCCAGGATGGTCTAGATCTCCTGACCTTGTGATCCACCCACCTTGGTCTCCCAAAGTGCTGAGATTACAGACGTGAGCCACCATGCCCGGTCTTTTTTTTTTTTTTTTTTAATTTTTTTGTAGAGATGAAGTCTCATTATGTTGCCCAGGCTGGTCTTAAACTCTGGACCTCAAGCAATCCTCCCACGTCGGCCTCCCAAAGTGCCAGGATTATAGGCATGAGCCACCACACCCAGCTCCGGCCTGTAAAAAGTTTCTAAAACACTGCCCTGGTGGCCAGATGTGACTGTGTTGGTAGAGTCTGTTCCCTCCTTGAGATTTTTCCCCATGACACCCCAATTCTGCAATCAGGTTCCAGGGTTCCAGCACCAGTTGTCCCCCACTCAGCGGTACACTCAACCAGATCAAGGGCATGATACCACTGCCAGCTTCCCTTGACTATTCAGTTTCCTCTTTTGGTTTCATTTTTGAAACATATAAAATGTTTTCATTAATTTTTTAAGTTTTTGTACTTTTCTTGCCGCTTATATCACTCTTAAAATCTGGCTTCCCTTGGAAGCCATACACTTAAAGCAAGTTGTTAATGTAATTTTTTAAAACTTCAAGCAGGGTATGGAAGCACATGCCTACAGTCCCGGCTACTTGGGAGGATGAGACAGGAAGATCACTTGAGCCCAGGAAGTTGAGACCAGCCTGGGCAACATAGTGACACCCATCTTAAAAGAAAAAAAAAATTTTTTTTTTGAGACAGAGTCTCGCCCTGTCGGCCAGGCTGGAGTGCAATGGTGTGATCTCAGCTCACTGCAACCTCCACCTCCCGGGTTCAACCAATTCCTGCCTTAGCTTTCCGAGTAGCTGGGATTACAGGTGCCTACCACCACACCCAGCTAATTTTTGTATTTTTAGTAGAGATGAGGTTTCACCATGTTGATCAGGCTGGTCTCAGACTCCTGACTTCAGGTGATTCACCTTCCTCGGCCTCCCAACGTGCTGGGATTACAGGTGTGAGCCACTATGCCCAACCAAAAAAAAATTTTTTAAGCTAAAATATTTTCTTTTCTTTTTCATTTTTTTTTTTAGATGGAGTCTCGCTCTTTTTGCCCGCGCTGGAGTGCAGTGGCGCGATCTCGGCTCACTGCAATCTCCGCCTCCCGGGTTCAAGCAATTCTCCTGCCTTAGCCTCCTGAGTAGCTGGGATTACAGGCGCCCGCCACCACGCCAAGCTAATTTTTGTATTTTTAGTAGAGATGGGGTTTCACCATGTTGGTCAGGCTGGTCTCGAACCCCTGACCTCGTGATCCACCCACCCCAAAGTGCTGGGATTACAGGCATGAGCCACTGCACCCAGCTCAAATATTTTATTTTCTTTCTTCAATGGTCTTTTTTTTTTTTTTTTTTTTGAGACAGAGTCTTGCTCTGTCACCCAGGCTGGAGTGCAGTAGCGTGATCTCAGCTCCCTGTAACCTTAGCCTCCCGGGTTCAAGCAATTCTCCTGCCTCAGCCTCTCAAGTAGCTGGGATTAGAGGTGTACACTACCACGCCCGGCTAATTTTCAATGGCTTTTAAAGTACACGTGGCTTTTAAAGTGCTCCTTCATCATCACCCAGTAATCCTCAAAGAGCCTGGACGCTGGAAGGAGAACCCCTGTGCTCTAGCCCTGTTTCCGTCTCGAATCATGTGGGTGAGCGAGTGCTTTTCCCCTCACTAAGCCTTGATTTGCTCATCAGTAAAATGGGGATAAGCCAGGGGCTCTGGTGCGAAGGGCCTGGCAAGGTGTGCCTGGCGCACTGTGTGTGCTGAACCCATGGCAGCACCCTCCCTGGTTTCGGGGGTAACGGGCGGCCCTGGCCACTCACCGGAAGCAGTGGCGGTGGTACAACCTGCCGTCAGCCAGGTAGCGCTGTACCAAGTGCACATGCTGCTGGCAGGCCGCGCACGTGCTGCTGGGGGTCTGGCCGGTGGCCTGCTCTGACAGGCTGCCTGAGGAGAGCTCCTCGCCCTGCAGAGAACGAGGTGGGGAGGTTGGAAGCAGGACATGGTCACCAGCCATCTTGTTCACGTCACGTCCCTCTCCCTCCCTCCAACGGCCACCGTCACTCAAGTGTGCACCAGTTTTCGTGGTGGAAATGGACTTCATCAGGGCCCCAGGAGGGGCAGAGGGCAGGAGGCTGCCACTGTCTCCCAGGTGAGGAAGCCAAAGCCCAGAAAGGGGGAAAGCCTTGTTCAAGGTCACTGAGCCAGTGTGGAAACACGAAAATCCTGACTTCCGGTTTCTGAGGCTTCCTTCCCCCAAGGAAGGCAGCTCCTGGCTGTGCAGCTCCTTCCCCTTGGCGGCTCCTGCCCCCTCTTCCTCCCCTTTGGGGAGCCCCCCGACAGGTTCCTGTCCTCCCAGGCCCACTTCAGCTGCCTTTTCTGTTCTCTCCTAGAACTGCCATGGATTTAAATCCCAGTTTCTCTATGTCCAAGCTCAGTGAACCTGAGCAAGCTGCTTGAGTGTGGGCTTGGGTCCCCCCTGCAGAATGAAACTGTATAACCCCCACCAGCCTCGGCCCCATGTACCTTCATGGGGACCCCACCCTGGGCTAGCTCCCTCCAGCAAGGAGCGGATGGAAGCAGGAGGGGAAGGCCCTTTATACACTGTAAGGTGCTGTCCAGATGTGAACGGCTGGTGTCATTTCCTCTAAGCCCTTCAAACAGGTGACTGGCAGTTGGCCCCCACTTCCTTGCTGAGTAATCTTGGACAAATGACTAAACCTCACTAAGCCTCAGTTTCCTCATCTGAGTATCAGGGCCCATAATGCTGACCTCCCTGGGTTGTTGAGAGAATTAAAGGAAATCAAGCTGGGAATTTCAGAGCTGTCTCCACAGGAATCAAGGGGAATCTTTGCTTTACTACGTGTGTAACTCCTGACAGTCCCATGATGGTGAAATCAGCATTGTGGACCGCCCTCTCTCCCCTTGCCAGAGCTGGCATCTCCTGACCCCACCTGAGCCCTGGAGAAGGAGGTAGGGCTCCCTGCCCACAGAATGGGACTGGCCTCCTGAGCCATGCCTCACTGCCCCAGTCAGGGACACCTGTTCCCAAAGCCAGTGTGGCAGGGACAGAGAACAAGCACCCTCTGAACACTGTCAGGGCTAACTTCCTCACATGACCCAGTCACTGCAATGATAGCTGTCCACATAACTCACCCCCTCCACCCCCGGCCCTCCCACCTCTCCAGGGATCTGCCTACCTGAGCCACATCTTCCGGTTCCGCTGAAGTGGGTGCTACAGATGGCGGGGAACAGGGTGCCAGGCCCTTTCTGGGTGGTGAGACACCAGCTGCCAAGAGATGGGAAAGGGGCCCTGAAGCAGGTGGAGATCCTGGAGTCCCAGGAGGTCCCAACCTGGCCGAAGATTTGAGACCTGTAGCCATCACCTTAAGGCAGACCACCTCATACAGTGGGACAGGAGCTGGCTCCCACTTCACGCGGACCCGGGGACACCTCCAGTTTTCAGCTAAGTGCTGAGGGCAAGTCACTGAATCTCACTGAACCTCCATCAGATGGGGAGAGTGACTCCTGCTGCACATAGCCAATCCGAACAATGGTGCAACAGTACGATCACAGAACACAGCACCCACGTGTGGCTGCACTAGCAGCTTCCCCGCCACCAGGGTAGAAGAGGTGAAGGAAAGGAAAAGAAAGGAGCCACATGATGCTGGCCTGACAGCTCAGAAAAGGGGCTGCCTCCTTGGGGTTGACAAGGAGCTGTCCTGCCTATCCCCAGGTGGGCATGGGGGGCCAGAACTTGGCCTGCACACCCCCTCACCAGAACAAACCCAACCACCCTGGGTTCCTCTAAGACTCAGTTCCTCAGGCCGGGCGCGGTGGCTCACACCTGTAATCCCAGCACTTTGGGAGGCTGAAGTGGGCGGATCACTTGAGGTCAGGAGTTCAAGACCAGCCTGGCCAACATAGTGAAACCCCCGTCTCTACCAAAAATACAAAAATTAGCTGGGTGTGGTGGTGCGCGCCTATAAATCACAGCCACTCAGAAGGCTAAGGCAGGAGAATCGCTTGAATCCGGGAGGTGGAGGTTACAGTGAGTAGAGATCGCACCACTGCACTCCAGCCTGGGCGACCAAGCAAGACTGTCTCAAAAAAAAAAAAACCAAAGAAATTCAACAACACTATGGTTGGTGCCAGGAGTGGCTCCAGCTGACTGGGGAGAGGCTCTTAGAAGCCACACGAAGAAGCTGGACTTCATCCTGACATTACTCCCCAACCCCTTTCTGATTTCGCACGGCCCCTGGGCTTCCTTCAATCATGCCCTGGCTCCCTGAGCAGGCTGCAGCTCCTCCAGGGCGGGGGTCCATCTGCTGTGCCCAGGATCACTGGCACCCACTGAGCGTGGTGGCACAGCGGAACACTCAGCACAGCACCGCAACATCTCAGCCAGGGGCAGGCTCCAAAGTTACCCAGTCTGGTAAAAAGTCAAGGCTAGTCAGGCTGGGCGCGGTGGCTCACGCCTGTAATCCCAGCACTTTGGGAGGCCGAGGTGGGCGGATCACGAGGTCAGGAGATCGAGACCATCCTGACTAACACGGTGAAACTCCGTCTCTACTAAAAATGCAAAAAATTAGCCGGGCGTGGCAGTGGGTGCCTGTAGTCCCAGCTACTTGGGAGGCTGAGGCAGGAGAATGGCATGAACCTGGGAGACGGAGCTTGCAGTGAGCCGAGATCGCGCCACTGCACTCCAGCCTGGGCGACAGAGCGAGACTCAAAAAAAAAAAAAAAAAGTCAAGGCTAGTCAAAGTCACTCTTGAAATGCCTCCACTTGCCCAGAAAGTACAGTCCAGGACCATCTGGGGGAGTCAAACAGTCAGCTTTGCCTCCAGAGTTGGAACACATCACTGTTTCCTTTGCTTAAGCAGCAGATGGGATAAAAATGGTTTGCATTTAGGGGCCAAGTTGTATGAAAGGCACAAATTGTACCTTTTTTTTTTTTTTTATTACAAAAGGCAGATTTATTAGAGAAAGTATGAAAATACATCACGAGGTTGACAATACAGGCAGCATAACAGACAAGGGACTATCTGCCATAAACTGTACCTTCATCAATGAGAATCCCTGCAGGGAAAGGGAGCGCCCGTGCCCACGCTCAGCACGGTAACCTGGGCCCACCAGGGCTGCCCCTGCCTACCAGGCTGCCCAGAGAGGGCCAACAAATGGTGAGCTGGGCACCACCAACAGCTCCCCGCACCCCCCGCCCACCCCCCACCACAGAGTCCCAGAGAAGAGCCCAGTAGAGAGAGATTCAGGTTTGGTCACAAGGAAGGCTGTGGGCTAAGGCTGAATTGCAATTCAAAGGAAGCCAGCTAAACGCTGATCAATGGCATAAGAAGTAATAAGAATACTAATCTTGGCTGGGCACAGTGGCTCACACCTGTAATCCCAGCGCTTTCGGAGGCCAAGGTGGGTGGATCCCCTTAAGGTCAGAAATCCCAGACCAGCCCGGCCAACATAGTGAAACCCCATCTCTACTAAAAATACAAAAATTAAGCCAGGCATGGTGGTGCATGCCTGTAATCCCAGCTACTTGGGAGACTGAGGCATGAGAATCGCTTGAATCTGGGAGGCAGAGGCTGCAGTCTGCCAAGGCTGTGCCACTGCACTCTAGCCTGGATGACAGAGCGAGACTCTGTCTCAAAAAAAAAAAAACTAATCTAAATACATGCTAAACACAGGTTTATACATTTCCTCATTTACTCCTCAAGTCAACCCTGTGAGATGGCTGTTATTCCTATCCTAACTGCAAAAGGGAAACTGAGGCAGAGTGGTTAAATAACTGACCCATGGTCACCCAAAGAGGAAACGGCAGAGTGAAAATTTTGAGTCCATGTTTTCAACCCCAACCTTAGACCGCCTCTCACCAAAGCCTCGGAGGTCTGGAAATACTTTCATTTTGTTTTCTATTAAAATATACACAATGTTATTAGTTCAATTATTTTAATCCCTAGTGTTACATTGGGGGAAGGGGTATAACATATTATTTTAATTTTTCTGCTTTTGCCACGTTCTAAGTTTTCCTGTTTATTTTTTGTGTTTAGGGATGGTGTCACGCTCTGTTGCCCAGGCCAGAGTGCACTGGCGTGATCATAGCTCACCACAGCTTCAAACTCCTGGCTTCAAGCAAACCTCCCACCTCAGCCTCAGTAGCTAGGACTACAGGTGTGCCACCACTATGCCTGGTTAATTTTTTTATTTCTATTTTGGTAGAGACAGGTTCTTGCTATGTTGCCCAGGCTGGTCTCAACAATCCACCCGCCTCGGCCTCCCAAAGTGCTGGGATTACAGGCATGAGCCACTTCACCCGGCTCTTTTCTTTATTTTCTAAAGTGATTTATTTATGGCTGGGCATAGTGGCTCACACCTGTAATCCCAGCACTTTGAGAGGCCAAGAAGGGTAGATCCTTTGAGTTCAGGAGTTCAAGATCAACCTGGGTAACATGGTGAAACTGCACTTCTACTAAAAATATAAAAATTAGATGGGTGTGGTTGCATGCACCAGTAGTCCCAGCTTCTCAGTAGGCTGAGGTAGAAGGATCACTGGAGCCCAGGAAGGTTGAGGACACATTGAGCTGTGGTCATGCCACTGCACTCCAGCCTGGGCAACACAACAGAGTAAAACCCTGTCTCAAAAAAAAAAAAACTGGCCGGGCGCGGTGGCTCAAGCCTGTAATCCCAGCAGCCTGGGAGGCTGAGGCGGGCGGATCACGAGGTCAGGAGATCGAGACCATCCTGGCTAACACAGTGAAACCCCGTCTCTACTAAAAATACAAAAAATTAGCCGGGCGAGGGGGCGGGCACCTGTAGTCCCAGCTACTCGGGAGGCTGAGGCAGGAGAATGGCGGGAACCTGGGCGGCGGAGCTTGCAGTGAGCCGAGATCGCGCCACTGCACTCCAGCCTGGGCGACAGAGAGAGACTCCATCTCAAAAAAAAAAAAACTATATATATATGTGTGTGTGTGTGTGTGTGTGTGTGTATATATACACATAATATATGTACATATATATGTATACGTGTGTGTATGTGTATATACACATATGTGTATATACATTTCATTTTATATATATATATAATGAAAGAAAAGATGGCTGGGTGCAGTGACTCAAGCCTGTAATCCCAGCACTTTGGGAGGCTGAGGTGGGTGGATCACCTGAGGTCAGGAATTCGAGACCAGCCTGGCCAACATGGCGAAACCCCATCTCTACTAAAACTACAAAAATTAGCTGGGTGTGGTGGCGGGTGCCTGTAATCCCAGCTACTTGGGAGACTGAGGCAGGAGAATCGCTTGAACCTGGGAGGTGTAGGTTGCAGCGAGCCAAGACCGCACCATTGCACTCCAACCTGGGCAAGAAGAGTGAAACTCCATTTCAAAAAAAAAAAAAAGGAAAGAAACCTCTGACTTCATAAAACTCTTTAAAGAGTTGGCCCAGGGCTGGGCACAGTGGCTCATGCCTGTAATCCTACCACTTTGGGAGGCTGAGGCGGGCGGATTGTTGTTGAGACCAGCCTGGGCAATGTAGCAAGAACTTGTCTCTATCAAAATAAAAAAATTAACCAGGCATAGTGGTGGATCACCTGAGGTCAGCAGTTCGAGACCAGCCTGGCCAAAGTAGCGAAACCCTATCTCTACTAAAAACACAGAAAGTAGCCAGACATGTTGGCGCATGCCTATAATCCCAGCTACTCAGGAAGCTAAAGCAGGAGAATCGCTTGAACCGCGGGGGCAGGGGTTGCAGTGAGCCGAGATCACGCTATTGCACTCCAGCCTAGGCAACAAAAGCAAAACTCCCTATCAAAAAAAAAAAAGAGTTGGGCCAGGACTGTCCAGACTGAGAGCAGAGGCAGGAGGGAGGGGCTGAAACGGGCTCTACTCAGACCCAGGGGCAGCAGGAACCCAGCATAGGATTCAGGACACCTGGATTCTCAACCCAGCTGTTCAGTTTGTCTGCTGTGTGATCTTGAGCTCCTTGCTTCCCCTCTCTGGGCCTATTTCCTCTCTGCAGAAGGGGAGGCCCAGCTGCCCCCAAGAGAGGTTCTTGCATGGGAATGCCCAGTGACCTCACTCAGAACCAAGGTCACCTTGTAGCCCCTGCAACGCCGGTTCCCCAGTTCCCCAGCCTCTCAGCTCTTAGTCACTTCTGTGGAAGACAGCACAGCAGCCTCACCAGACAGGGCCACTTCCCTGCTGGAGGAAAAACCCAAGGAAGTGTCTGCAAACAGGAAGTGAGGGTAGGTGCCGGGGAGGTGGACTCCATGCTGCAGATGAACTCAACCTGCTGTGTCTCCTCTGATGTGATTGTGTTCATTTTTTTTTTTTTTTTTTTTTT